GAGTTTTAGAGTCCTCCAACGAGGATTGAAGCGGAGCTGTACCTGGGAAACTGTCCAGCCTGCACCGCGACCATCTCCGGTGTAAGTAAATAATCTTTTCAATCAACCATTACGCCTCCGTGACTGATTCTAGCTCGAGCGTACTACTCCACCCCGCGACTTTTCTCCGGCCCCGCATGCCCGGGCTGCCGGCCACAGCCTGCGTGCACACAGATGGGCCCGGCTCGCGCCCGGCGAGGATGGGACCGGGAGCCGGCCCGCACACTGTCCACCACATGAAAGATCATTGTGAGAACCCTCCTAAACCATCTCCTTCCACTTGTTGAAGAGCTCCTCCCAGAATCTCAGTGTGGGTTTAGAGCATCAACAAACTTTTCTACATGGCCTTCTTTGACCTCACAAAAGCATTCAACTCTGTCAACTGAGAAGCACTGTGGAGGATCTTCCTGAAGTATAGATGTCCACCAAAATTCATCAGATTCTTTACCTGCTTCATGATGGTATGAGAGTGGTGGTTCTCAGTAACCAATCTATCACAAATCCTTTTGAGGTTAAGACAGGAGTTAAGCAAGGCTGCATCACTGCTCCAACACTCTTCTCAATATTCTTTACCGCAATGCTACAGCTGACCACCAACAAGCTTCCAAATGGATGGTCTAGCTGTGGAACTAAACTACCAAAAGGGATGGTCAGCCGACCCCGAGCCAAAACCAGGACCACCCCAACCTCAATCATCGAGCTCCAGTACACTGATGATACTGTAGTGTTGCACTAACTTAGAAGCAAACCTTCAGGCAATCATTGACATCTTTACTGAGACAAGAAAATGAAACTTACATTTAACATTCAGAAGCCCAAGGTCCTCCAGCAACAAACTCTTAACGAGTAGTTCCCAGCTCTAGTAATTCAGATTCATGGTGAGACTGTAGAATGTTAAGTATTTCCTGTACTTCAAAAGCTCTCTCTTGCAGAAGGCTGATATCAACAAAGAAACCCAACATAGCCTCAAATGCGTAAGTGCAGCCTCCAGATGTCTGAGGAAATGGGCATTTGAAGATTGTGATATTAGATTAAAAACCAGGCTCCTGGTTTATCAAGCAGTTGTGATCCCCACCTTACTGTACAGAGGTGAGATGTGGACAACGTACAGGAGACACTGCACAAGAGTCTGTCAATTCCAGATAGATCTCATCAGCCATCTTCTGATCTACAGATAAGACAGTCGTGGAAGACAATCATCCTCATCTGCGAGGGATCGCCAATGATGATGATGATGATGATGATGATGATGATGATGAGTGACAGCTGTATAATGTTGGATCAGTTGGTTGAACAACCTTGTGTACCAAAGCAGAGTTCCACATGTCCCTTCCGACCCTAACGTCTATGAATCTATGTCCATATTCACGATTCCCAGTGCCTGAGTGAGCCATTAGTCACCTTGTAATGACAAATCTGCAGTATGCTTAATCATTTTGATTTAAAATGAAGAAAAACAGGAGCATCTGATTAACTTACTTCTCATACATGTGCACAGGCTTTACAGGATTCCCAGAAGAGAGTTGGGATGACCTCTTCCCACTGGGGCATTATAGTCTTCTGAAGCACAAGACATAATTATAGTAGATATATCCCATATAATTATTATTGGTGGAACTCAGTTATTCCTATTTTCTATCTGTTATCTTTATTCTTTCTAACTATTGTATCTTTCAAAATATAGCAGAAATAGGGAGGATGCCTGGTTGGAAATGCTGGATCCTTTATTAGGAATGCAACAGGTCTTTATAAGCAATATATATCTTTATATTTGCTAAAACCTGGGCCCTTGACAATACTGGGAAGCTGCTCCGGAGCTACATCTTAACAAGGAATATGAAATGCCTATTACTGATATATAGCAATTAGCTAAATAGCATCTGGGAAATGGCAGAAAAGACCTGGGGACAGTCATCATCACCTTGAGGGCCCTCATAGGAAAAAAAATTCTCTAAATTTGGCCCAGTCCTGGAAAGTTCTGAGACCCTCTAATTCATATTTAAGTCAATGGGAAATCTGGTTGCTCATTGCCTTTCAGGGGAAGTCCTATTTAATAACATTAAATCACTCTGAGACTGTTCTTTTTTCTTCTTTTTTTTGCAGAGTTAGCTACAGCATTTTGTAAGGGGAATAGTACAGTAGTTTGAGGTGACAAGGGAGGGTACTTGGCCTAACAACCAGCTGCTTTGTCATACTTAATTGCTTACGTAATTAGTTAACTGAAATTCAGAGCATCTGCTCCATGGAAAATTCCAATACTTCAAAATGTCCTTTTGTCCCAAATTGGAATGAAAAGTCAATATTTAAAACATTATTATGATATTTTTAATTCACAGAAACATCAAAAGAGATGTACTGCACCATTTGCTTCAGTAAAGCTAAAACACTGTTTCTCATTTTGCTATAATATACCACATTTATTCAGTACTACCCTAAGTCTCCTCCTCCTTCCACTCTCCCTGAGTCAGATGTATAAACTTGCTTCAGGAAGCCTGAATGAAGAAAAAAAGATTTTTTCTGAGTCTTACCTGCTATGATACCAGCTCACTCAAGGCTGAAAGCACTGGATTCAAGGAACAGGAGTGAAATCCCATCACTAGCATCACTGCTGCTTGGCCAACAGCTGTTGACAATTCAGCAGAAGCTGTGGGAGAGTTAAATCTGTAGCTGTTGCCCTGCAGCAAGAGGAGGGGAATGATGCTGATAACAGTAATCCACCCAATAGCATAATGAAGGGGAGGCAACTAGGATACTAGTCTTGGACATGGACCTTGAGTGGGGGCAAAAAAAGAGCAGTATTTAGGCTGACAGCTGCAGTACAGCCAATGACACTGTCCTGTGCTGTTGTTCAGGGAACTCAAGCACCCAGTTATGTCTCTGACTCTGCCCTTCTCCCTGCCCTGGGAAGGTTTAGCTTCAGGTAAACTGGTGCAGAGCCATCTTTCCTATGCCATCTTTCCAGTGTTCCCAAGCCTCCATTCTGGTGCAGAAATCAGTTTCCTCACTTAGAACATGTGTCCCAAGTTTGCATGGCTAATTTTCAGGAAAAAAGATACTTATGGTATGCAAATAAATACAGCATTGATTATATTACCAATATATTACATTAAAAAAAAAATCAGCATTGAAACATGCATAAAACATTTTGATCATTTGCAACAAAAGCTTTTGATGAAATCAAGACATTCATTCAAAACATTTAAATCTTTTGGAATCAGCATTTTCTAATGGAAAAGCATTAATGTGGAAAATCTGCTTTAAGTAATATATCTTATAAAAACAGTATTATGAAGGAAGGAATCTGACCTTCCTTTACAATGCTGTTATGATAATACTAACAAAATATCTGACTGTGGCTAGTATCACTTCAGTATTAAGACTTATTATACAGTTCTTATAATGAGGTAAGACCATTTATCAAATAATGGACTCCAAGAAATTGAGTTGCCCTAGATAACTAGATTCTGGGCTCATTGATGACACCTGGCAATCTCTTTCATACTTAAAACATGCCATCAGCCAGAGTAACTGCACGCATTGTGTTATCACTTACATGTCATGTATTAGCAGTTCTTGCCTGGGAGTCTTTGTTCAGCTGGTGATGTATGTAGATGATACAGTGTGACAAACATCTGTCTCTGCAAGCTACACAGAGAAGTAGTAGAAAAGGTTATCCCTTGTCTACCCTGGGGGATTTCCAGCTGGTGCCAGATAGGGCTTTCAGGCAGAAATAACATTAAATGGTGCCTTGCATCCTCAGAGAGTTTACTGAAACCAGAAGGCCATGCTCAGATGAGCAGACTCAAAAACAGAAAGAGCGCGGATTTTTCTATATCTATTTAATCTGCCTTAAAGGCCACCATCCTCTTCACAAAGGTCTCCGAAATGAAGTCCCAAGTCTGCCTTTTCACCAGATTTCTTTATAAAGCCTATTGACTCTCTACGCCATCTCTGGAACTCTTTTTTGCTATTTATCTTGACCCCTCGCCTGTGACGAGCTTGTGGTTTATAAAACGTCCTTTTTTTTCTTGGGTATCTTGCACTTGAATTTTGTATTGTGTCTTGACACCACGGGGAAAGGAAACCTGCCAGACTGAGAGAAAGGGGGAGCGGGGACAGTTCCACCCACTAAGGGGATGCAGGAAGTAGAGAAAATAATCATTTTCCTATTTTAACAACTTAAAGTAGAAGCAGCAAAATGTGCGTGTCTGTTCCAACAATTCGTGCATGAAAATCTTTTTCAGCGTATGGCACTCTTGACCTTATAGTGTTGCTTCTATCAGAAGGAACAGGAAAAGCTGGCAAGGGCAAGGGGCCTTTGAGCAGAACAAACCCCAAGGTGCCAGGAGCTCCCTCTGCAGCGGTGACTGGGGCAAGCACAGGTGCCCTCTTTCCTGACCCGCTCCCATCAGGAGCACCCCCCTCTAGGGCTAGAAAGCTCAGGGATCCCCTGCCCTGCTCTCTCTCCCCAAGGCGGCTGGTGGCAGGCAGCAGGAGATGCCACATCGCCTCTGGTTTTCCCCCTGCTCTGGTCAACTTTGCCAGAGGCTGCTCTCAGGGCAAGCCCTGCCCCTGGCCACCCCCATCCATCAGCTGGTGTCAGAGATGGACAGAGGCAGCGCTGCCTAGTCCCATCCCCCCTCCGGGTTTTTTTTCCCCTCCTTCCTCCCAGCCCCCTCTGTTTGCTTCTCCTCCTCCCCCTGCCTTGTGACACGGAGAGGGAGAGGGAGAGAGAAGGGTTCTTCCCTGGCAGCTCCTCTCTGCCGCCGCTGCAGTCATGGCTGCGGAGGGGGTGGAGGAGGGGTCCCCGCTGCTCTCGGCGCCCAGCTCCGGCAGCGTCACCCCGACCGCGCCTCCCTATCTGCCCGACGGCAGCCCCCGAGGTAAGGCCCGCGGAGGGGCTCCTCGCGCCCCGCACTGCAGGGCCCGCGGCGGGGAGAGGCAGGACCATGAGTTTGCAAGGCGCTGCCTCTGCAGCCATCGGGCTGGGCTGGGCTGGGCTGGGGGCGCCTCCTTGCCGTGCCCTTGAGGGGCTCCCGGGCAGCGCCGGCCCCGGCTGCCTTCCCGGGGGGGACGGGGCAAGCCCTGCCCGCCCTACCCGCCCGCAGCGGGCTTCACCCCGTGACGTTCCCCAGCCTCCAAGGCCGGGGCCGGGGTCCGGGTCCTGCCTGGCCTTGAGATTTCCCTCTTGCTCCAGCCCATTGTTCACTCAGAGTCATGCTGCTCGGCGGCCCGGCCTCGCCTCCTGTGGCCCCAGCTCGTCTCTCTTTCTCTCCTAGAATTGCGGAAAAGCTGCGGAACAACAGGTAGTGCTGACGGAAAGGAAGGGCAGCGTGGATCCCCTAATTCACATGGGAAGTAAAAAATAAACAAAAAAACCCAACAAAAAAAATCCAGAGTGGTTCCCAGCTGCAGAACAAGCTGGGACCCGTTTATTTACAGTCACCACTTCACATGTTAAAGCTCTAATTATTGGGCTTGAGTCTTCCCCTTAATTACAGCAGGCATAAACACAAAGAACAGTTAATTGTCGCTAACCAGACTTCTTAGGGGGAGCTCGGGGGTACAGAACTGGGACTGCTGCAAGGATTTCCGAAAGAAGTCAAGTGGAGCAAAGTGGGGAAATGCTCAGAAATCCCCATCTAATCTCCACTGCTTATCAAAGCCTTGTACCAGTGGACACCAGGTGGTGGAATGCTACTTTGGTGGGCAGACTGGTACCAAGCAGCAGCAGCTGTGCAGCCTGGAGTGGCTATTTAACAGACATCACTGTGAGTGTCATGTGACAAGACATATTTTTAAAAAGCAAGGCTTATGTGCTAGTCTATTTGTGACTCAAATTCATGTTGTGGTTCTCTTATTTTATCTTATAGGTATGGGGAAAGTGGCCCATTAAGGTCTGTTCAGTGGTAGGGATTTAGGTTTTAGTACTTAAGAAAGCCACCCAAACTTGGAGCTAAGAATATTAGTACAGTTAAATTTTGAATATGTGGTGACAAAAACCCTCCACTTCGTATGTTTTGTATTATTTTGGTTTTGGGCTAGGTAAAGCTTTTGAACAAAGCAGAGTGCCGGAAAAAGCTCAGACTGTTAAGGCTAAATAAGATTTGTTCAGCTTTAGTAGGAGCGTTTCAAATACAAGATTCCACTCCTGCTCTCAGTGCCTTCCAAGGAAGCAGAATTGCATCCTAACTTTCTCATTTGTTACGAGATGGGTAACATCCAGTTTTCCTGAATAACAAACAATAGCGAGAGCTAAAACAATATGCGATTTACACAGGAATATATGGTAGATGGGACTCTAAATGAAAATGGATAAATGCTACCAGCAAACAAGTTTGTATTTAGTTTGATCCATTGGTGATGCATAGATGGTGCATGTGGGTGCACCACATGCACCCCTGAGATTGGCCATGCACCTCCTGAAAGCACCAACCTTGAAACTGGGAATGCACTTCAAGTTTCACCACTGGCTCAGTGATTGACTGCTGGGGGACCCCTCCTCCCCCTGGTTGGTGATCAGTCACTGGGCCCCCACCCCAGTCAGTGAGCTGGTGCCTTCCCCCCCCCCCCCCACGGGCTTGGGAGGCACCACGTGCCCCGTGCCTCCCCCCCCCCCCCAACGGACTTGGAAGGCACCAGTTGCCCATGGTCTGATCTTTAAGCTGAAAGAAAATGGGGTTCTTTTCTTACTAGATATATGGTAATAACAGAGCTCTGCTAATGCTCTGGGAACATACTCACAATCACCTGACATTTTGAATAGCACAGGCCAGTACCAGGCCCAAACCAGAGGTCTCGGGTATTAGATTTAAGGTGGAATTTAATTATGTAGGATTACCTGCATAGGAGGAAGTTCTGAATAGAAGGCTATTCCTAACCATTTTAGAAACCAATATATATATATTTTTTTAAAGAATAAGAATTCTTATGTTCAATGGCTTTTTTTTTTTTTTAAGTATTCATTATTCTCTGTGTGTGTCTCTACACCAGATTATTTTGAAAATCAGATTATTAATTATGTAATGGGGATGATTCAGTGCAGTGACTCAGGCTTGAACCCAGGTATAAGCTTGTGATGTAGCACTTGGCTCTGATTTACCTTATTCCTAATAATATTGACTGTTGAAATGGAGAAAAAAACAAAATGCTTATAGCTTTCAGGTTCACAAGAACCCAGCCAATAACTTGGTATATGTGCATGTTCTGTTCAAGACAGGGTCTGGAACTTGAATTCAAATGACTGCATGATATTAACAACTCTGTGTTCTCCCACAGAAGAGGTGCAGAGTCCCTGTGAATAGGGTTCTTTTGCCCACCAAAGAAGTACTTGGAACAACAATTTTGTATGCCTTGCAGTTTATAAAAGTTGCTTGTAAATGTAGTAGTAGAGTGGGGTTATAGCCATGATGGTCCAGGAATTATGTGAGGCAAGGATTTTTTAAGGTAATATCTTTTTATTGGACCAACCGCATAGCTCCATCTCAACTATGCAGTTAGTCTAACAGAAGATATTGCCCTAAGAAATCCTTGCTTCCCTTTATTTACAAGGGCACATTAACTCATACTCGCAGAATAAAATAAAGGAAGAATACAAGTTTCCTGACACACATTACATAAACTGACTGTATAGTTTCCTAGTTTTTGCCTCTGTCAGTCAGTTACTTGTAAGAAGGTTGTCTGCTAGTTGCAATGGAACTGTACAGTATGTACAGCTAGCATCAACGAGAGAAGGGAGAAGTTGTTTTTTGCCCTAGCTGGAGATCACGTCCTCTTCCCTGCCCAGGCAGGCCTGGGGAAGTCCTATGTCAAATGTGACCCTATCCCCTCAGAATCCCCATATAAATTTGATAACCTTCCTCTTGGCTCCTGTGCAGTTTCCAGGGTTCAGTACACTATCCATGTGTGGATCTAGGATTTTGCAAAAGCGGGTGCAGATGGCATGGTGCAGCAACACAATACACATTTTTCTCCAGTTAAAGAGAAGCTACAAGATGTACTAATATGCTGTGGGGCCCACAGCTATAGTATTTAGTTTAAGGTCAAAGCAGAACTCAATACAACTTTATTGGCGTATGCAGTTATTTGCTAGATACTATATCAAGTTAAAAAAATTAGAACAAACTAGGCAAAAAGGTAGTGTTTTATTAGTCCTGTAGTCATTATAGTTAAGTGTACATTTCTTATTTAGAATGATGATACAAAACCTAGCCTTCTGAAGTATCTTGACAGTGCATCCAACACTTCACTCTTATTCATTTCCACACCTGAGTTAAGGTTTTTAGCTAGAACTAAAAGCAGTATGCAGGCCTGTGAAATAGGGGAGAGAGGTTATCAGGAATAGCTAACCGAAAGCAAAGAAGAAGAAAGGGTAACTGCAGAACTGGTGCCTAAATACCTGGGCTATGAGTTCATAGATTCATAGATGTTAGGGTCAGAAGGGACCTCAATAGATCGTCGAGTCCGACCCCCTGCATAGGCAGGAAATAGTGCTGGGTCTAGATGACCCCAGCTAGATGCCTATCTAAGTTGAGTTCTAATAAGCTACAGTACCCAACCTATGTACTTCCTTAAACTACAAAGGACTCTGGCTTTTAGGGCTAGTATTACTTTCCCAATGGGGAGAGAGCTTTTTCCTTATTGCCCTCCGTGTATTTTGGGTCCTAGTAGCTTGTTCTTACCTGGGCTAATGAGCTATGTTAAGTGTTTGTATTTTGGGAATGACTTAATTTTGTTACCAAGAGAGGTTTTGAAGAGGAAGAGCTGCTTCTTTCTTATTAAGGAGTCTGTAGCTGCTTACATACTCCCAGGGTATGGTACATTGGAAGCACTAGACCTGCAGGGAACTTCTTTTCATACAAGCGGAAAGGTAGAATCTCTAAAGCGCATAGGATTGTGTTAGGGGTTTATCCCAGGTTTAATGTCCCAGAAGACCATGGCCTGTTAGGTAAAGGATTAGAAAAGTCTGAACTATATGCCACAGCAAGCAAATATTAGGCACGCGTGGTCCTCTGAAATAGGAGGAAGCAGCAAAGTATGCTCCTCAAAGAAGTGGCCTGGCAGCATGTCTATGCCAGAATGCAGGAATGCAAAGACATACTGTACAACCTGTTAGTGGCAGGAGTAAATATCTTCTCAGTTTTGTGAAGCGTGTTGGTTTAACAACATGGTTATTTTCCAGTACACACCAAGAGAAACCTTCTCCTGGACTGTACCCTTGGACAGCCAGGTTGCAGGGTCTGGACTATTACGTGATCCACCAGGAAGAGTCCACAGAGCAGTGGCTGGAGATGGGCTGCAGTTTGAGGTGCTGTGATTAAAGCAATAACTTATTTTCCCCAGAAGATTCTTCATTTACAATTTCCTTTTATAGGCCTGTGTCCCAGCCATCCAGTCTGACCAAGGAAATGTAGATTCAGTTCCCCTCGGGGATGGACTCTTAACAACTTTCAATGTCAGATATTCAGAAAGGCAAAGAGTGATAGGAGTGTCTCCTCATCTTCTTGGGGCTAACTATATTACAGGTTTCCCTTGCTTTTTGCAGGTTCTGTATATGTGAATTTGCTCTTATGCGATGACTGTTTTTACACCCCAAATTTGTTATATGCAAGGAAAATTCGTTATATGCTAGGTAAGTCTGTAGGGGAAGGGGCGGGGGGAGAGGTGCAGTGCAGCCCAGCGGCTGCAGGCAAGTGGCGTTGGCCTGTCCCGGGGCTGCGGCAGGGAGCAAAGCAGAGAGGACTGTCAGTGGGTGCAAGGTGCAGCTCTCGCTGCTACGTGCACCCCAGGCAGCCTGTGGGGCTGCACCAGGCTCTTCCCCGGGAGCACATGCCCCTGGATCTGTGCACGGGATGAGAGCAGGCTGCCACTGTGGGCTGGGTCTCGCAGCGGCACCAGGCTCTTCCCAGTGCTCAGGGCAGGCAGGCACCCCAAAATTTGCCGTAGCCCCCACAACCTTTTTTTTTTTTTTTTTAAGCTGTAACTATGATGATCTACTGAGGTTTTTCATGTTTCATAGTTTGTAGTGTCAGAAGGGACCTTGACAGATCATCAAGTCCAACCCCCTGCCATGGCAGGAAAGAGCACTGGGGTCAAATGACCCCAGCAAGGTGTTCATCTAGCCTCCTCTTAAAGACCCCCAAGGTAGGAGCCAGCACCACTTCTCTTGAAAGTTGGTTCCAGATCCTAGCCGCCCTGACTGTGAAGTAGCGCCTCCTGATGTTAAGTGTATGGATAGTAGAAAATATTTTTAAACTTCAGATTCCAAAATGTTTCGTCTGAATTTGATTTGTCATCTTGACTTGCGAGTTTATAGTATCTTTTAGCAGTAGATACTGTTATCTTCACATTCTTAGTATCTTTACCTATATCACAAAATGATAACTTACTCTGATGAATGTTTCTGGGAGGTTTTTTAGTCTAGAAACCAATCAATTTAAGAGTAAAAATATTGTAATGATCATTTGAAACATCCACAAGAGGTTATTAGTTCCTATAAGGGAAGTTATCAGAGGCTGAAAACATGGAAGTGAACATAGCTGAACTAATGAAACAACTGCTTTGGCTGTACACTTGTAAGTGGAGAATCTATATAACTCAGGGAAGTCACCCCAGAATTACTCCAGGGCATATGACAGGCTTACAGAAATTCTGTTCTTCTTTGACTTTTAGAGTCAAATTCTATTAGTGTTTTGGGTTGCTTTTTATGGACTACCAAAACTGAGGTTAACTGTTGGGCTTTGTGAGAGGATTGTTTTGTTTGGTTTTGTTATGGGGGGGATAGAGGGTGTCCAACATTTGGAGATGGGTTGGCATTCTTGTAGTACCTAACCTGCTTACGGTAATGGAGTAAAGAAAGGATGTGTTGTGGCTCCCCATGCCTAGAGAAACCTGGTAGAGCTAATGGTAGGCCTGTCAGCTGTGATGGTCATATTTTAATTTTTTTCTAGTAGCTATTCTTTTAAATGGGTATAAAATATGTCTGTTTTGGTTTCTCTGAGGAGCCAACAAAAGCTTCAGATGTGAGCTACTGTAGAGTTTGTCTTAGTGTGTCTTGGCTCTGTAACTTAAAGGGAGCTTTTCACATTTCATACCTGTTCTGGCTTTAGGCTTCAGTTATGTTTATTTTTTTTTCTACTCCTGAGTATATTTATGCAAATTAGTGTCTTAATAAAATAAGTGATTAAAGGTATTTATGAATGTTGTAGTATAAGACTCCTTGTATCATCTTCTGCCTACTGAAATTCTTTTTCATGTCTTATTGAATTGTAGCAGGGACGTGGTACCTTCTTCCTTTCTGTCTTCTGTAGAGAGTGGAAAAAGGGAAATCTGCTGGCTCAGCATGTTGTGGTTCCTTATTCCTCGTTTAAAGGAGCAATTTTAAATGACTAAAACTTTCCCTCTTGAAAAAGAAGCAAGAACCCCAAGATGATTCAGTGTGTTATTCCATTCACTCCATTCTTGCCAGGGCCAAATGTCACATAGTGTACTGCAAACTTCCACTGAGAGACCGTCATGATCCCCACAATATTTTGAGGCATTTGTGGGATATCACGCATGTTTTCTTGAGTTTGTTTTACTGATATGATGTGTTGTTTAATAGAAAAGCCAGTGTTATACTGTGATCATTTATGCTGCTTTTATCACTGTATGGATTATGTTATGCCATCTGCAGGTAATCTTTATGATTTTGGGACATAGTTTAATCCAAGGAATTGAGGAATGCATACCTAAAGAAAAGGGAGAAGGCAAAACTGTTAAGCATCTCTTGCCATTGTGTAATTAGGTGAAGATAAATTGCCACTCCCAAACACAGGCTTGAGGGGCTATTGTTGGGATGGGCCCCCAAGTTATTTTCTGCTTGTAACAGGAAAATTAACCCCACTATAATGAAAGCAGCTCAGAGAAATGGGCCATTAACTAAAAGAATTCCAGATGCCTCAGGAAAGAGACATTTCTGGGGATTCTTAGACTCACTAGCAATTGAGGTCATGCTGATGGGAGCAACTAGTTTGCAGGTATTTTTAGGGGCTATCTATGAGATAATCATGGTCTTTGGTGGGGGAGTCCAAGTGTCCGGTGGTCAAGGGTGGCTGGATCAGCA